GTGGCCCTCGAAGAATTCATCGTGGTTTTCGGGGCGCGGGGCGCCATCTTGCTGAGCCCGGCGGCCCAGCGAGCCTGGCGAGAACATGATTGCGACATCGTTCGGCATGCGTGCGGACGAACCATCTCTCTTCGCATCAAAAGGCATTTCGTATGCTAACACTTCTGTGCACGCGCCAGATCAATCTTATGGTGCGGAGCTGCGGAGAGACTTTTCCGACTTTTGTGATGACGTGAGACTTCGTTTGCCAATTATGATTGTCAGCTCTGGCTGGGGGACTGGAACAGCCGCGTGGGCGACGACATGCAGTCTCAGCACGGCGGCCTCGGCACCTATGGCATGCGCACGCCGACGGGCACTCCCGGGAAAGAGTTCGCTGCCCGGTTGTCCAGCGGCCTCAGTTTGAATTGGTGGATTCTTATTTCCGCGTGACTCTTCGGGGCACTTGGTCTCATCCAGTGGGCGGCCGCCAGGTGCACTTCGAGCAGGGCGTGTGCGTGGCATTGTCGCCTCTTCTTCGCCGCTTCTCTCGGGTGAAGACTTTCCAGGTGGATTTCTCGGACCACTGTGGCAAGTCCTACAACCTGGCCCTGGCTCAGGCGCACGGGGGTGGAAGGAATTTCGGCAACGTGGCGCCGAGGTTCAGGAACGCCCTCTTGCCCGTCATCGGATGCAGGGCTCGCCCCCCGAGGCGACCGCTTTGAAGAAGGAGCATGAACGATGTTGCGAAGCTCGGGCCCCGCCCCTGGACGCCGACTGCCCGTTGTCTACCATCCGAGACGTCACCGCGACAGCTGCCGAAGAAGTGGTTGGGCGGGAGTCGAAAAGTCGGCGCGCCCCGCATCTCGCTTGCCACGCGGCAGAGATGCAAGCTGAACGCGACGCACTTCTGGACCTTCGCCGCCGCCAGCGTCTCGCGAGCACCGCGGAGGAGTACGCGGCGCTGCGCCTGCATCACAAGGCCCGCCTCCAGGCGCATCGCGCTTTCCGGCGGAAGCGACGCGCGGAGTGGATCTGGCGCGGTGGTGGAGCTGGAGCGGCCCATGCAGCACCACGACATGGGCCGATTCTACGCGGCGCTGCGCGAGCTGGGGGTCCATATGTAGGAGCACTCGCAGCGAGGACGCCAGGGCCACGCCCCGAAGGCCCTTTGAGCGCACTGCAGCAGGCCAGGCGCCGAGCCCAATACGGTCGACCAGAACGCCCTGGACCGCCTGCCACCGCCGCGCCCGACTTGTGAAGCTCTTGGAGATACTCCGACGACGGCAGAACTCTTGGCTCAGATGAGGAAGATGAAGAACTCTGCTGGGGGCAAGGACGAGGTCACGAACAAGATGCTGCTGCGCGGCGGTGACCGGGTCGTGGGCCACACCACTCGTGGAGTCCAGCAGATGTTGGCGACACCGCCAGGAGTGGGAGACCTTCATCCACGAGGCGGTGGTCATCTATCTCTCTCTCTCTGGACGTAGAAAGGGAGCCCGCACGTCCTGGACAAGCACCGCGGCATCTGCCTGATCTCGATATTTGCGCGGATTATCGCCCGTGTCTCGTCAGCGAGACTTACCAAATATTGCGAGGACCAGAACGTCTTAGCCAACGACCAATGGGGCTTTCCGACCGCTGCGGAGCACTTTGGGCGCGATCGCTGCGGTCCGGCGGTTGGTGGATCTTGCCTGTCACTGCGGCGCCGAGCACATCCAGGACCCCGTTTGCGTTGAGCCATTGGACATGCAGAAGGCGCACCCCTCGGCCTCCCGGAACGCGGCCGAAGCCGTGGAGCGCAATGAGGGCATCCCAGAGTCGGTCATTTTGGTAGAACGGGGGCCGACGGAGTTCACGCAGTACGTCTGCCGGAACAAGCTGGGGTATAATTCCAAGCCGTACAAGTTGCTGCGCGGCTTCAAGGGGGGCTGCCCCGCGTCCTGCGCGCGGTGCAATATCTATCACAACGCCGGTCTTCGCGATTTTCGGCAATGTTCCGCTGCGGCCGGCCTGTCTGACTCCATCCAGCTTCGACACGATCCTGAAATTGTTCGCATTCATCCACCTAACGATGCCCACGGCCCGAAGTGGCAGCAGCGGGCCGCCACCTGGGAGCGCTTCACCTTGGACCTCATCAGCTTCGCGGGCGACACCAACTTGGCGCACCGGGCATCTGTGGCAGCGGAAGGCCGGGAGCTGATTACATCGACCGCGAAGCAGCGGGGCGAGATGGTCCGCACGGACAAGTGGCAGCACCTGCGCGTCCGGCGGGCGACGCCTGCTAAGGCCGCCCCTCCTGCCCCCCCCCGCAGCGGCGCAGCCAGGCGCCGACAACGCGCCCCGGCGGCGGCCGGCAGCCGCCGCGCCTCCAGCTGCGCCCGCCGCGCCTCCAGCTGCGCCCGCCCGGCGGATCCGGGGAAAGCGCCCAGCGGCGGCCTCCGGCGGCTCCTCATGTCGCGGCGTCTGCTGTCTGCGTTCGGTGCAAGGAGTCAGCGGAATCTCATCTACACCGAAGCTGCGAGGATGTGATGCCACAGGCGATTGCTCAGCATGAGATGTACGCCGCATACTGGCTTCGGGGTGT